TATGTATGTGTGTGTGTGTGTGTGTGTGTGTTTGTGTGTATGTGTGTATGTGTGTACCATGCATACATTCATTCAACGTTTATTTATACAGGTTAATTAATCCCATTGAGTCTCAGGGACTCATTTACAAGTGAGAGCTGATCATGATTCATCAGAACATACATTTTCCACCAACAATTGAACTTGTGTTGATATTGTATATTATTCAGTAAAACCTTAATGATTGAGGTGAATTAAGGGTCATTACAAAGTTTAAAAAAATTATTTTAACCACTGAAAACCTTTTGAACATTCCGAAAAAATTTGCTAAATGTTTCATGGCAATATTTAAAAAACAAGGACAATTAATAACCATTTTATGACTAATGAAAACATTTCACATTGTTCTAAGGAAAATCAAAACAGTAATTATCCCCACTGGCAGCTTTACAAAGATACAACGCTTGTATCATTTGAAGTCTTCCGATTGAAAATAACTAATTTTATCATTAACATCTTTGAAAAGGAACCGAGGACAATCTCTACACTCGGATACTTTTACTCGTAACTATCAAGGACATCAGTGGTTTTGTGACAATTAATCATTTCCTTTACATGTTTGGTAATAATATCTGCACTTGTGGCATTAGCAGCTTGTTAATAAAGCTCCAAAACGCCAGCCAAGAGATGTCTGGAAAAGTACTATCTTAAGTAAAACGGTTCTTCTACTGACAGATGACCTAATGAAACCCAAATAAATAAAATCCTAGTTTCTAAAATCCACCACAGCTCAATGATTTATTAGCATTCGTTCAGCTAAAGCTAACTAACCAGGTATAAAGGCTTGTTTTGTGTTGCCGGGTTTGTCGTAAAATTATTTTAAAACCGAGGAAACACTCTTACCTTAGACAATTACGGGATGAACGTGCGGAAAATAAAATTCAAAGAAATTTTACTTCAATTTTATACGGCCTCTGCACATTCACTTCCTGCTTTGTGTTTGGCCACGCCCTCCACACTCAATTCTGCTCCCGAGTGGGCAGGAGCACAGTCCAATCAGATGTGGTCCCCCAGATACGCCTTCCGAGTTTTGTCTGCAACGGTGACACCCATAGATATCATATAATGACTAGATACAGCATTGACCGCTATCGTCTATTGGCGCTGACGAGATTTAGATCCGCCATCTTGAAACGGTCGACCGCTCCACTCAGTGTAACCTGTTTCTCAGGAGCAATGAAGTATTTGCGCGTTTAATCAGTCAGAGCTGAATACTAAACTCATTCTCGCGATTTTTTCCTCTGTGAATCTCAGGAGTACAGCCATTAAAGCTGAACACATGGTTCAGTGTATTTAAATATTCTTGGTGGGGTTAACATTAACACTAATAAAATATTCTTATGACACGTTTGCAAAACTCACAGTCACTGATACATTTTTATTCACTGATACATTTTTATTAAGATCTATATATATTGTTGGATTTAATATTTTATACATTTTTATAATTCCTATCAAGCACTCAAATGTCATGTCACATAAAGGGTGTGCGTGTCTTTCTTCCAAGGTTGAACTATGTTTATAGAAAATGTTTGCTAATTCTAACTAGTTGACCTTTAAATATAATCTCATAGTAGCTAAGGATAATTTTACAAGTTCACATTTGATAAATTACAAGCAATCAAATCAGGCCAGAGAGCAGACTGATTAACATAAATAAAGCTAGAACACAGCTCTTTAATTTAGACAATATAGTTTGACTAAGTAAAATCAAATTAAAAGTATAACCATGATCCAAATAAAAACACGAACATAAGTTAGATAATA